TTAGTATAAACTTGACTATGCAGATATTCACTAAAGCCTTTTGATTACATGTTTATTAGGCATGTTTATTGTGTGACATGACCAAGAGATGAAACAATGAAACTGCAGGTTTCCATCCTGGTGGTAAGTGATGTTTTTAAGATTTTATCAGCTATTTCGGCAACCTGAGGTTATATAGATTCTATGGTTACACAGTTTTACAAAGGTGAAATGACTGTGTTTTTGCCTAAGACAATTTCAACTTTCAGCATTACTATTGATTTTAATGTGCAATGATATTTTAAGTGGCTAGGAGGAAAAAAAATATTCCCAAATCCTTCCTGTGCTGACTTCATGGTAATGAAACAGTTACAAATTTCATTTAAATGGATGCTTTTTGGCTTAAGTTTCAGTTTTCTTTTTAGAAAACATTTCAAATATGTGAATAACTGACTGGAATAATAAAGCACAATTTACTTCTTTAATGATATCATGACATGGGACACACCCTCTCAATGGTGGTGGAATGATGCGGTTTCTTCTGTAAAGACTGGAAAGCTTCTCAGAGTTGTTAGAAAACAGGCAGGGCTAAAATAAAGGAAATGGCTGCAAGATCCTGACATTGGTTCCAGAGGTTCACCTCCCAGAAAAAAAAAACACACACAAAAAAAAAAACAAACCCTAAACATCCACCCAGAGCTACACTGGAATTGATCGAAGCATCAACTTTCTTTTCAAAGAAGAATACTAGGTTAAAATTCTAGCCTATCGACGTGCAAAGTTGGTAAAGTCCCACAGCAAAAATGCTGCAACTGCAGCAACAGGTGGCAAAGTATTGACTAAGGTGGGTGAATGCATTGCAACCTTTTTTGTTTTCGAAGAAATTACAGATATTGGCATTATTTTTTCTTCCCGTCCAAAAATTAGCACTTTTAAGTGATACTCTACCACATAACGTTCTCAACGGATGGTTGTAAAGTTGTACATATTGATGGACTGTGTTTCCCACTTTAAATGGTTTCTAAACCTTCGATTTATTGATGTTTGGGGTATCGTTGATTGATACCTTGCTGAAAAGAAGCAACAGTTTTCTTCAGCTGGCTTTTGAAAAGCACTAAAAGTGTTTGTTTGTTTTTTACAAAATAGACTTTCTTTGGAGGAGAATACCTAACACACTGGATACAGAGAGTAAAAGACATGGAATAAATGTGATAGATGGCAAACTGTTTATTTTGAGCAAATTCCATATGTAAGCTGTTCATCATTGTTAAAAACTCATTTGAAGATCAGAGTAAAACTCTGAGATGACTCTCAAAGCACACTTTAACAAAATTCTCAAAACAACCTGCTTTTGATTTTTCTTGGACTAAGAAACCTATTGTGATCATGAACATTGAAAAGAAAAGTCGCCTTACACAATGACAGCTTTTCTGACCTGTCTAAGCTCAAGATGGCTTTCAGTGGCCACTGTGGCGGCCAGCAGAACCTGATTAAGTCATGATTTCAGGGTCAATTTTATGTTAGCATTTATTTCATCTTATACCAGTTTGTTGTTATATTTTGTTGTTGTTGTTATAAAGGACTCTACTGTCTTTTGTCAATCAATTGATTTTCTTCTTTGTTCAGACTTTCTTGCAGGCAGGTGATCATACATTAGTTTGGTGTTTTTCACAATTGTTGACACTAATTTAATCATTAAATTCTTCATAATTTGTAAGTTACCGAACATACTTTTTACTTTTAACTAATTCAACCGTTTATGCTATCTTGCTGTATGGAAAATGTTGGAAGTGTAGACATTTTTTTTTTTTTTTTTACTGTTCATTTGAATTCGTACACTGGAATAGTAAGGAAAATCTATTGGCACATCAGCCCCACCAACATTTTATTTTATTTTTTCCCACCAGCTGCCACTGGGTCATAAGTAGCAAACAATCTAAGAGTTGACTAGATAGACACTGGAGCATGCTCATGCTCAGTCCCAAATATGTTTGTTGTTGATGTGATTAACTGCAGGAACCATTAGGGAGCTGAGGCGTGATATAACCATGTCTTGTGGAATCAAGAGTTGTGGTCTTATTCAGAGGTGAAATTTGAAGCACACCTTAAGTTCCCTGGTACGATGAGGCAAATAAATATGTTATGTTATTGTGCAAAATGAGCCGAGCTACTTTGTATTCCGGCTCTGCTTCCTCCCTGGGTTTTTATTTAGGTGTGACACCCCAAGATCATCACTGGCTCAAATTTAGTAGTATTTAGAAACTTCCTGGATACACCCCTATTCAGCAGTATTAGGAGACATTTCATTTGTACATTAATATCCAAGCAATATCACCTTTAAATACTTTGAATATGACACTCTGAATTAAAACTCTGTCAAGGGCTAAACACTGCAGGTCTGACATACAATAAATACTTTTAATACAAAGTCTGCCAGACGAGTCTTTTTTCAGATTTGTATAACTTTTGCTCTGTTTTATTTTAACTTTGGTCTTTCAGAATGCAAAGGTATGTTCTCTAGCTGTATTTTACATGCCTGTCATTAATACATGCCTTCTCATAAGTGCACAAACTGTTACAGCGGAGATAGGATATTTTCTTAAAACAGAGACTTAAGCAGTAGACCTGGCTTTCTGCTTGATTTCAGAAAGGGAAGAAACTACTTATGCAAGTTTGCACAGATTTAGCACCTACACATAACCTCATGAAATTGTCCATTTGCTTCTCTCAACAGTTGTAGATTGCAGGATTATTTAATTGAAAAAAATACTCCTTAACAGATACGAGCACGTGGGTTAAGAATTTCAAGTATGTGATTTTCTTCTTCAGATGTACAGTACTGCTTTCTCATCTCGCTTCTGCTAATGACTGTATTTGCCTGGAAAACGCATAGATTAATTAGTGCATAAAATGAGAATTTGAAAAGCACAGTCGGTTTGATATCGTTAAGCTTGGCAGCATTTTGACAGCTCTTCCCCAGAGACACAGAAAGAAAGAAATAACACAATTAGACTAAACTTCTAATGTCTTTGTTCCTTCTTTTTTTTCTTAACAGAAATATCTGTAGCACAAAGACCAAAAACAAGTTAATTACACCAAATGCATTTTTTTTTTACCGAGTGGGTTAATAACTGACACAACCTACTTTAGGATCTTGTCACAGCGAGGTGTTTTCTTTGTACACTCCTCTCATAAAACCTCAGTGCTTCGTGCTCAGACTTAATCGCAGGGACTAGATCTGTTGCATGTACTGAAAACATGTTCTGCATGCGCAGCCGTCACCAGGGAATTGGATGAAGGAGAAATTCCTTAGAGTTTTATGCACAGATGCAATCGTTAGCTTGCTTATTTTCCAGTGATCAAGCTACCACTCATAGGGGGATTAAAGCTCTAAAGGATCAAACATTATGTGTAAATGCAAGCCGGTCTGCTCTCAAGGTGCTGTTAAGGCATATGTTGGTGGCAGCTTTTTACACATCAAACCGAACATCCATTTGCTTTATATGCTCTCAGCAGATGCACCTTGTAGCTGCTGTTGTAGCTCAGCATCATTCCAGCCACGACTAGTCATGTCAGGATACTGGTAGAGTGGCCGGCCTATTGCATCTATTATTAAAAAAAAAAACCCTTGTGTTAGCAGCTGTTCCCTGCCTCATTAAACCTAGATCATAGCGGTACTGATGATGCATGTTTAGCTGTGATCTGACTTGTTCTTTGAATGTTGCTGTACTGATGCCACAGAGCTTATGGGCAAAGCCACAACCAACATAAGACGAACGAAGGCATGTCATTTACTGAGACAGTTTGTCTGCTGTGGTCATATCCCAGAGAGCTTTTCTTGTCTCTGCTGTTTCAATAAAATATCAATTAACACACTGAAAAAAATTTCCAATTTGTTGGTTGTGATCGTCTGATCTCTGGCTCTGGTGGAAATTCACTTGAACTTTACAATTCTCAAAGGTAGACCAACGTCTGAGGTTTTACTACCCTAGGCAGGCTGCAGTAAATTTTCTGACAGAGTTTCTGCTGTGTCAGACAGTGTTAACCTGACCGCAATGCATGGCGCTAAAGTCTTTTATGTTTTTTTGTTTTTTTTTAATTATTATTTTTCCTTTCTTTGGACATGTTTCCTGAGGGTGCTCGTCCCAGTAAGGCTAAAGAGTTTCTGTTAATGATCCAAAGAAAAAAATAGAAAATTTACAGATATTTACAGAAAATTTATAGAGAAAGCTCACGCTTTGCAGATGTCTGTTTATATAATTAATTTTGTTTCGACTGAACTAGCTAATATGAGCCGACTCTACAATAAATAAAAATAAAAACATGTACTTAGATTATATGGGTGGCAAGCAACAGAGTGTATAAAAAGCAGGAATAAACCAATTCAAGAAACAATCTGAGCAAGCTTTGTCATTAACTTTGTTGTAACTTGAATTCAATTGATTTAAGTTTATAATTTTCCCTTTTGTGGAAGCAATAAACTTTTGTGGGAACTCAAAGAATTGGACACTTCACAAGGGGTGTTTATTTAATAATGTGAGACTTTTCTCAGTATAGGGCAAGGCCAGAGCAAACTGATCTCCTGATTGCAGGAATGTAATTATTTTCATAATTTTTTTTTTCTTCTTGTCAGAGCACAGAGACTGCTTTAGCCTTTTAACGGCCTGAGGCAGCAAGAAAACTACCACTGTTGCTCCACCTGACGAGGAAGGAACTGCAGTCTTTATGTTCGCGGTCACATTCTGGAGTCGGGGGAATTCAGAAGGAAAACATAAACCTTATAGAGTGGAACCTAAACATTTTCTATAGTTTTTCGTTGCTTAGTGCTTCAGAAGTATTAAGGAGTTAGATCAGTGTTTTTCAACCTTTTTTGAGCCAAGGTACATTGTTTTAATTGAAAAAAATCACGAAGCACACCACCAACCA